AAAAAATTAATGTGGAGTTGGCCTAAGAATAGCATCTTACGCAGTCTGACAATTGCTACGCGCAAAGTCGCTAGTCAAACCTCCGTTGTACACTCCCAGAAACTTACATGGAAACCCAAAAGGGTGCCTATAAGGACTACAGTCCCTTTAAAAGAGGGCTATTTGGGTTTCCATGTTCATTTGGCAGAGTGTACTGCCATGTTCTTTTTGTAACGCCTTTTCATCTCTCACACACACACACACACATTCACAGCCGAGGCCGAAGCGAGGGGAGCCCCTGTCTCGCGACCTTCGCAGAGTCATGGGGAAATGGGGTAGGCTGCATGACTCCATCTCAGAAAAAGGTCCAACACTAGAAATACATAGCAAGAACCTTTGCTATCAGGTGCTAGGCTGTGGATATGTGCCAATATGGAGGTCGCACTAATACACACTCATAGGCACCCCGCAAAATCATCCATATGCTTGAGACACCTCAACTTCAGTATGTGGATTCTGCAGGCTCTATCGCGAAGCATCCAGCTACCTTGGGCACCAGGGGTCCTGCTAAAATATACAGCCTTATTTTCAAACATACCGTATTTCTGCTAATGTGTTTCTCTCTTGACCTTGATATTTGTGAGCCCAGAATTGCCAGGAATATAAAGCAGCAAAGCATTGAAACCACATCCTACTGCAACCCTTCACGCAACCAAGGCCGCACCTTGACAGCTCCTGTTGCCTGTTTCTTAAGCCCTACAAACTCAAGGGCCTAGTTCAGCGCGATCCTGAAGCTAAAGCTGAAATCCCAAAGAACAGGAAAAAGAACCCCCACTCTCTGTCCTAGGCCTTCGATCGTTCCTGGCAAGGAGACGGGCGCCACCTGAGGTAGGATTTGGAAGGAACTTTCTCCACATGCAGATGATGAGGGCTTTTTCGAACGACTACATCTATATTCCCGAGAGAATCCTTGCGCGTCTTTTTCCTCACACGAAGATGGAGCCCCAGAAGACATACAGAGAGCACCGCTTTTTCGTAGGGAGGAATACATTTACGAGCTTCCATGTTAGTTTACAGGAGAATGTTACCGTTGTTCCGGCTCCGCTGAAGTCGCTGCGCCTACTGCAACATATGCCCGCAATCATTATCGCTCACGCTGCTGCTAATGCGGCTTGTCCCACTACATTTTGACCATGCCACCTGTCGTTAAACGCAAAATCCCCAGACGCTTTCCCAAACCCCTCAGCCTCAAGTCAACCCACAAAAAGTTTACAACCCCCCAAAATCTCTGCCCAAAACCTTAAATAAACGCTCCTCTCTCTTGCGCCTGCGTTTCGGGGGCTCGCACTCCGCCGCCGTCTTGGCGAGGTCCGCGCGGTGAGCCGCAGAGTTGGCCGGCCCTTTGAGCGGTCTCGGCGGCCTCAGGGTCTTCGAAGGTCTCTAGGCTTTACGGTTTAGTGTTCATGGTTTGGAGCTTTGAAGGTGGTAGGATGTATGGGTTCAGGGTTCGGGGTAAAGAAACATGGAGGCAATGTAAGAGGTTTGGAAGGCCTGTGAAGCATCATTCTTTGCCTGATTAAGTTCTGAAAGCGGTACGAAGAGGCAGGGAAGGGTTTCCCAGTCCAGTGGAGACAGCGACGAACCCGTCACAAAATCCTTTGGAACCAGGCCCTGCTGAAGATCCTGGCCCCTTCAACCTAGTATTCTCAGAAAGAAACGCCCAAAAAGCAGCGGGGCGCCGCGACAAGTTCAACCAGACACTGTTATTTGGCAAGCATGCAAGCTACTGATGCGACCACCAAGCTTGCAATGCCTTGTCTTCATGTTTGTGCTCGGCCAAATGACAGGTTTCAGACTTCAAGAGCTTCTAGACTTCACAGGCTACCCTGAATCCCATCCGAAAGCGAAGTTGGCAAGCCACCAGTTCAACTAGTGGGCCGGGACAGCAGATTGGCGTCTGCTTCGCCCGTCACCAACAACTCCAAAGTTTGCTTCCTGGCTACGCAAGCACCCAGTGCCCAGAGCAGCAGTTTTCCAGAAAGACTTTCACAAGGGTACGCGCTTCCTCGATAATGCTGCTGACTCTTGCTGGTCACGAATCGCCGTGTTTCCAGTTTCCATCGCTGCTCGGGCTCTCTTTTGCCCATCAAGCCCACCCTGCCAAGTGCCTTTTTGCTGGTCGTGCCAGGGGGGTCAGCGTTACGATTGGCCGGCAGCTTCTCATGGCTTGCCCGATGAGAAAATGTGCCCACCAAGGAATATAGCTTTCGCATTGGTAAGGGAACAGGCTTCAGGGATGGCGGCCCTCAGCTGCTCAGCAAGCGAGGTCCTCGCTGCCTCCGTCAACAGTGCCTCTGCAGCAAGGTCGGCAGGAACGTGAATGCAGGTGTGCCAGTCCCCGTCCAGACTTGCAGGACGCGACGGTGTCGCAACCGGGCTTGCCCTTTCGCTGCGGCGTGTCCCCCTCCAGACGTGGACTTGGATGATTATCGGCACTAGAACTACGGTGACGCTTTGGGAACACGCAATTGGTCCCGTGCCTAACACCAAACCCTGCCCTTCAGCTCGAAACCGCCTGAATCGAAACCATAAACCCCAGACCCTGGACTCTGAACCATTGGAGTCGGAGGGAGTGTGGGATACTGCCACAATTGTGCCTGGAGGTGAGCGGCTGTTCCAACAACGTGGCATCCTGTCCAGCACAAAACTTTTCAACTGAACTGGGGCTGCGAAGGAGTGTCCCAACAATGCTGGTAGGAACCTATGTCTGGGAGGAAGAGCCAAAATAGCGACATAAGGGATTGTGTTGGGATTGCTGAAAGAGACGTTTAGTCCCGACAGTGGTATAGAAAGATCGCGAAGGTCATGATGCGTTTGCACTGGAAGTAAGATTATACGGGTTGAGGGTGTGCGAAGATGCATGGTCAGCTTCTGGAAGAAGCCTGCTGCCGCCTTTTATGAAGGCCCCAGGGTTGTAGTGGAATTTACAGGCATATATCAATGTGTTTGTCACTTGGCCTGTCCCTGAACAGGAGGGCTTACAGGGATCATATGGGTTGCCTATGGAGGTTATGGGGCTCCGAAATTGAAGCATCCAATTGGGGCGGGAATATGGGAAGGATCCATTTCTTGGGTGCAAATGCCCATGATCTCTTGGTACTCTGCATGGCATGAAGAATGTACACTCGGCGTTCTGCAAAATTCTGTAAGTTCTGGCGATCATCCATCGGGGCCGACTTCAAACATATTCTGCCCTGTGGTCACTAGATCTTTCCTTTGCGAACCGCGCTGCGTCTCATTGGCTGCAACATGTCTAGTGATCAAGTGCAAACGGCTGAGAGACAAGTAAAGATCAAGTGCAAACGGCTGAGAGACAAGTAAAGGTCTCTTAAGCGCTTCTGGGAATGGCTCAGCTCGAGTTAAGCAGGAAGAGCACAACAAACACATGTACACTAGCGAACAACAATCAATCCGCAAATTCACAACGAACGTGATTTTGAATGTTTTGTGCCAACCAGCATGAAAAGCAAAATCATCAGACATAATAAGTATAATCTTGCAAATCCAAGATGATTGCAGAACATCTGATGGTTACCCTCATTTTCAAAGCTTCTAAATTCATTCCTGCCTCGCCAGGTGAAGGCAGCCGCAAAGTAGGCCAGGCAGGACACGAGCAGACCAGGTGTTCTGTCGTTTTTTGTTGCTGCTGGCTGCTATGACTGCTACAGTATGGGCTGAAATGCTTGTGTGGGTGAGAAGAAGTGCATTAGGTCGGGAGAGGATTTGGGGAAATATAATGCCTTCGAAGATGCGGGACTGAACGTGCACAAGCGTCTCTGCAATCTTCCGCCAGGGATTTCCCAACATGATTTCATGCCAAGTCCCCATTGTTTGAGCTAAATCTGGCTTTGCAGAAGGCCCTTGCATCAACAGCAAATTGCGGCATGAGTGCAAATTGCCTCCACTATTAAGCCGCCCCACCCCCTAGCAACAGCTGTCCCAAGAAAGTGCGATCATTATAAGGGGCTGCAATATTGGTGAGTGGGTGGGGGGGGGTTGCTATCCGGGGATTGCTTGGCGTAGTGTTGGACGGCATGCCATGCTTGCACTAATCAAAAGGCTGAAGCAAGTAGAATAAGGTCTTGGGCTGGAGATGAAGATATTCCAGGAACATCACCGTATCAGGAAGTAAGTAGGCTCTAATGTTGTCCCTGGCATGTATGCAGTTCCCCTAGATTGAGCAGCCTGGCCCAAGATTCAGCATCCTGATGTCTCCAGCCCTTCGTGCCCAGAGCCCGGCCCTAAACCCTTGAGCCTGGCATCCTGATCTTTGGCTACCGCTCTGATTTTGGCAACGCCATCACCCTGGTCTGGCATAAACGTGAGTTTGGCCAAGGAGTTTTGAAGAATAAGCTGCAGCCTTGACCGACTCTCGCTAACACTGTTAAGACCTGCCCAGTGTCCTCAAGAGAGAAAGATGGAACGAGCACAGAAAGAGAGGGCTGGGTTGAGGAATCCATGCGTGCGCTTCGCACTGCCAGGCCGCCCGTGGTCGTCGCGTAGACAGTAAACTCTTGAACTGTTGGAGATCTCAACATTAGAGGACCAAGGCGTTGCGGCGCAATTCGGTCCGGACATGCTCCAGCCATCGCTGGCCGCAAGTTTTGCGGCCGTGGCGGAACTAATTGGAATTGTCCTGGCCACGGTGCCCTCACTGGGACTGACCACGCGGGCTGGGGGTCTGGGCTCGTCCTGCCAGTCTTGCCAATCTTGCCAGTCTTGCCATTTTGCCAGTTTTGCCCACGAGCCCAGAATAGCCCTGCCGCAGAGGGCACCAAACAAGAGAGTTCATCGCGGGGTAAAGGTCGAATAGAAGCCATGAAGCTGGGTCCTGCCGCAGTCTGACCATCTGGGAATTTGCCTCAAGCAGCGATGAGGAAAACTAATTCATGGACTGGAGTTTCTGGTAGCTGGCAACCCATATGCGGACCTGCATTCCGCAGTTGCTCTGGGTAGACTACTCAGCAGTCCAAGCCTGGTGGCTTCTGGTTATTGAGCTGGGCATACCGCACTGTGAGGCACAAAGCATGTAGACGGTGTCTGAAGTTCTGGCCCCACACCAAAAGCCACACAAGGAAGGCCAAAGTCAGGATGACCAGAAACCAGCAAGAGTTCATCCAAAAGCAGGTGGCAGTGCCCCGAAGCTCATAGCAGTCGTCCGATTCAATACCGCTGAAGGTACACTGCAGACACAGAAAGGAAGTCATCATTGCCAAGAGGCTTCGGCCCTCTCCTTCGTAAATGGTAAGGTCGTGCGTGGCACCAACGTTGGCACCTAACCACCATCCATCCATCAGCCTGGCCGAATGCTCCGGAAACAGCTGCCTGAAGGTCTCCTGCAAGTATGAAGTAGGCCTTCCATCTATCCATTTTGTACGGTGACCAAAGCTGACGAAATGCACCAGAGGAGGCAAAGTCTCTGTTTGCCGCACATGGACCCGACCATTCAGAAGCTCAAGTCCATCACCTAGCTGACCAATGGTGTACAGTGTGCATGTGAGGTTGCAGTATGTGTCCAGTAGGATCTCGTCGGGGTGATCCCGACGATATATTTGAAACCACCACTGGTCGTTGACAGCAATGGGCTGGGGATCCCTTAGCATGTTCTTGTATGCGTGTACACGGCCTACCATGAGCCCGGCGTTCAAGAAGCGCCAGCGGTACTTTGCCGGTGGATGCTTCTCGCAAATGCCTTCCGTGTCAGGAAAGCAGGCAGGCTCAGCATTGAAGACCAGGCTCTTCCCGGACTCTCTCCTAGGTGAGAGAATAGCTGAAACTAGAATCTCCACGCATGATTCCTGTAATTAGCATGATTCCTGTAATTAGCAACATGACAAAGCCAAGGTAAAGGCATGGCGCATGGATTTCTTAAGGTGAAGCCGAGTCACTCGAGATCCTCGAAAACTCTTAGGATTTCTGATGCCCCGCCCATCACCATAACATCAAAGGCATCCGCACAAATCACCACGTCCTGGCTCGCCTGGGGCGTTTCCATCGTGGGGCTGCCGGGCAGGGAAAGGGAGTGGAAAGGATGCAGGAGTAGTGTGAGAAGTGCAAACCTTCGAAGCACCCATCTCTCTCTCACAGTACATATATATACATACAGAAAACGACGCATATAAAACCGCACACACACACACACTCACACTTGCAAACCTCGCGTCTAGAAATGCCCATCCGAAACATCTCATTGACGCGGAGCTTCACCAATAGAATTGAACGCTCAAGGTGGTGGTGGTGGTGGTGGTGGTGGTGGTGGCGGCGGCGGCGGCGGCGGCGGCGGCGGTGGTGGTGGTGGTATCGTCGTTGGTGGCGGGGGCGGTGCTAATGGCGGCGTTGTTGGTCGTTGGTTCCCGGTCCCTAAAATTCCTCCTCCCACTAATATCCTTCAAGGGCTTTATTAAGGTTCCTTTGAAATTCCAATTATTTCCTCTGATAACTGATATTGTAACGGGAAGTGGCCCAGCATATCCTAGACCCATGTCTCTCAACTTTAAAGGTCCCCAGACCGGCCTCCAAAAGAAAGACTTCCGGGAGCCCAAGTGCATACCATGTAGCTTCTTATGGGGGTATGTGCCTACGTTATTTGGGCTATAGTCTAAACTCCGAGTATCCTGCTTAATAACCCCCATAATACGCCCCTATATAAACCCCTATTCAGGAGCTTAGACTTGGGGAAGTTGATGAAGGCTTTGGGCCAGGCCTTCGTAGCCACGTAAGACCGAAGAGCGTTGATCTTCGCACCTAACTTGGCCCAGCCTGCCTCGGAACCCAGCCCGAGTACCTGCAGCTTGTCGTATGCACAGGTGTTCTGTAGCAAAACACATGTTCAATGATAGGAGGCAACAAGCGGCTGGATCAAACAAAAGCTTCCATCTCTTGACTTAGCAGCGCGGTGAGGCATGTGGGTATTTTGTTGCACCCTGCGTTGAGCATATCGAGCTCTGGGCTTTTGGGTCTTGCGATCTGAGGTGTTCGGGGTTGCAATAAAACAAAACAAGGCAGCAAAGAATACTCCAACAATCTAATGCAGAGGGCAAGTTGCGGTTCAGGGTTGAGGTTTACGAGTTGAGGGTTTACGAGTTTAGGGTTGCCATTTCTTTCTCGACTGCACATCGCAGATTTCCCAACGTCAAGTAAAAGCTCTCAATTAGCACACCAAATTTGAGTCGTGTCCAAGTCACATTGAGAGTTCAAGCATGTATAATGACGCGTGAGTTTCTTACCATACCACAACTGGAAAACAGGCACCCGTCTCCAAATCCGTTAGACACCTAAGCTCCCCAAAACGAGAATCCTGCCTCAGGGTACAACTCATGTGCCTCCGCAGACACTTGCAAGTAGGCAAAGCGCCTGTCCGCCTGCCGGGGGCTATGGACACTAGCTCTGCAATATGATGGCATAGCTAAACTCTGTCCTTACAGGATGGGCCCCCAGAACCACGATCGTTGATGTGCGGGCCAGGAGCGCATGCTCGTGTGGAGCATTAGCAATTTGAGGGCATTCCCCGTGTGCACCTTTAGCCTCAAGCATGAACTTTGTTGGCTCTCCTTGCCCAGACCACGGTGGCATGACAAAGGTTACGGAGTTTGGGTGCAAGCCTTACCTTTGGCTAGCTGGGAATGAGGGAATGGAAAAGAACATGGAAATTAGTATAGTGGCTTATATAGGGATGATTACAATAAGGATCCATTCCTTCATTCCTAGCTAACCACAAGACTATGGTACCCAATGTAGGGACTATTTACAGACATGGGTCCCTACGAATAGCATGGCACTTCGCGGATTTTGGGCTGAAGTCGTACTGGCTGATAGTGAGTTGAATGCTTTTTTCCGCCAACATCTGGTGAAGTCGCTCATGGTTAGGGTTGCTGCAAATGCTTTGTAGGGTTCTTAGTCCCCCTTAAGTAGATAGCATATGGCCTCGGGTACAGTATGATAAGATCCCCATATACCCCATATTCTATCTACTTAAGAGGGACTATGGGGTTTAGGTGCCAATCCTGCGGAACTCACAGAACATGCTCAACAAGTATGAACCAGGGACTGAAAAGACCCTGACGACTGGTAATTCCTTCTGGGGTATCCTCACTCCACGGCGCTGGAACAGGGCTGCTGCCTCTTGAACCAGGCTGCAGCAAAATCCTTTCCGTAAGCAGTTCATATCAGTCCGCCCAAGGCGGTTATTGGAACTGCAAGCCCTAAAATGGAGACAGTATCATTCTGTTTGACACAGTAATGGCATTACCTGCAATTTTCTAGGGGGATGCCTTGACACCAAGGGCAGCCGGCCTTGCTCATGTAGGTAAAGAGGTGCAGGGTAGAGCCTGGTGACTGGGGTTAAATTGGGGTATTATAGGGGTTATATTGGGATAATAGAAAATGCAATGGAAACTACTATTTAGGGTTCAGGGTTTAAGGTTTAACTGTCAGAGGAATCAGGGTTCTCCTTTCTGCTCTTTATGGTGGAAATCAATGATGCGCAATCTTACAGCAGGCTGCCGTGGTCTCCAACCTGTGTGTGGCAGATCCAGGTCTTCCAGAGGAGTAGCGCCCTCTACCTTTAGAGGTCATTCTGAACTACAACAAGTGACACCTCTCATCTTGCAATAGCTCCCTGTTCCATTTGCAATCCTGCGAAAGGGACAAACGATCTCAAGCTTGGACAAGCAGCTGTCCGTCGCTTGCTCGAAAGCCGCCAGGGTGGAAGACAGCATCAGCAAACAGAATGCAAGGCTCGTCATGATGGCGCTTGGGCACGGAGGATTAAAAGCTGACCTTGGGCGCAGCCGCTGCTGCTTTGCAAATCTGATTCTTATCGAACGTCCACCTGAACGCTGAACGATCTAAACCCCCTCCCTTTGCTGCTCTGATGATGACTGCTCCTTTTACAAATTTGGCTCATGACTACTCTTGGGTTTGGTGCTGAATTTCCCAGGCCTTTTCCACTGTTATGTAGTTCCTCTTGTTTCGTTCCTTTGCTTTTTCACCTCTGAATTAGAGCCCACACAAATCACAATAACATGGTTGCTTTACCTGACCGCAGAAGACTGCTTGAGATTTCAACTGCGGATGCGACTGCTTTAGAGACAACTTCTCAAAATGTCAGTTGCCCAAGTCTCAGGATAGTGGGATATTATCATTGCTTGTCGGGACCCCCTGGAGGACTCAAGAAGGGATCATCTTGACAAGCTCGCTCATACGACCGTCTGAGATGGCTATGACAATTATTTGGCATCCGAATTCAGGGTAGTGGACATCTTGTCTGAAAATTGTGAGCCCAGTAGGCCCATCATATCAAATTTGGTGTTCAAGCCCTCACACTCAGACCCCAGACTCCAAACTCAATGTGGAAACAAGTTAAATGGATGTAGTAGATCATGATGCCGGCTTCATCTGCGGCTCTCCCTCTGGTTACTGCGCAACCGGTCTTCCTTGAAGTTGTGGCTGGGGGGACTTCCACGCAGTAGTTGCGGGACCTAGACCAGCTTATGTGCGTCAAAACCAAGGTGAAACCAGCAAGGACAAGCTACAAGCTTCTTTGTAGCCCGGATATCTGCGACTTAGACCAACCGACCCAGTACGTGACCGAAATTACCGGGCTCCACAGCTCAACAACCATACTCTCATAAGGGCAGCAAAACAGCAAAACTTACCTCTCCTACCGTCTCAGTTATGACATTGAACCTAATTGCTTATGTTTATGCACTTTTTGTTGCACTGACTTTTGTCTGGCAAAGTGACTGAAAACGGGATGACTTGCTTGCCTGCAGCTTCTGCTTTCATCAGTGCCACCCTCAATTCAGTTCAAGACTTGGTGCTTTGCAGACGGCAGAGCTGCAGAAAGATTTGCATGGGCCACGACTGGTCCCGCAAGACGTCACGATAACAGCCACTTTGGCCGCTAACCCAGACCCCTGATTAATAAACCCCCTCCGCTGAATAGGGATTATAAAAGGGATCCTAATATTTTAAGGTCCCTAAACATGGGTCTACATTATCAACCCGGCAATGCACTTGACCTGGAGCTTTGCCAAGCTGTTGTTGTCGCACTCCCACATGCAGTCTCTCTCGTTCGCTGGGAGGGTAAAGCATGCAGTGTCCTCACAAGCGTTTCCCAGCGCCCGAAAACACGAGGTGCAAGTAAATCTAAATTGGTTTTACCTGGTCCAGAGAGGTCGCCGTCTGCCTCACTCCGTGGGCACACTCTCCACAAGAGTTTTCTCTGCTTGCTACAGCTTGCTTGGGTCCCAGAAGCAGCCGCGCGCGTGCCAGCGTGGAGGCCTCTCATGACTTTGCCGTTGGACTTCCTCAGCAGCTAATGGACAGCCGCCGCCAACCGGAATCGTTCGCTGCCGAAAGGAACTTGTTGCCTTGCGTCGACCCTGGATCATGTGCCATTGCCATCCCAAGCTTTGTTGATGTGTCGGTGCAATCGGCAGGAAACAGTCGGACTGCTGCAGGCAGCTATGCCCAAGACAGCGCAGTTGACCTTCAAGGAGTTGACGATAATCAGGGTTATTGTCATGAGAAGTTTTGGGATACCTGGACCCTCCCCATTTTATGAATAAAGTAGCATTCACGATGTTTGTGCGACGTGCCTGTGCCTCATCCCAGGTACTGTGACGTCGCCGCTGGACTTTGATGCCATTTCCAGGATAGCGGTGTGGCATTGCGCAGCAGCTCCTGTCTGGGTTTCGGGATGGGGTCGGTTTCGGACTTAGGGTTTAGGTGCCAGGGTTCAGGTTTAAGGGGCTTAGGGCTTGAGGCTGGCTTCTGAGGTCAGGGATTAAGCTCTGGAACCTTCAAGGCTTTCCGGCTTTCCCATGCATGGCCAGGCTTTGTGGCTACGGCAACGCGGCCCCACATGGGCTCAGCGACTTCAGACTACGAGTACATAGAGATGATGTATTTGCAAGTTCCTTTGCGGCCGCCAGG